AAAAAATAAGATTTAATATAATAAATATACTTTTATTTTTTACTTCTATTTTACTTATAAAATTATTTTTATATAATTTTTTAAATTTTTTATTTAAGAAAATATATTTTTTATTTTACACTTATATATTTTATATTATTTAAAATAATATATATTTATTTCTTTAAAATAATTAGAAATATTAATAACTAAACCATTTAATTATATATATATAATTTAATATTAAGACTTAAATATTAATAATTAAAATAATTATAAATACTTATAATTTTATAAGTATTTATAATTTTAATACCATTTATAATTAATTACTTATTATATCCTAAAATTCTATAAAAAAACTTCCTCATATATATATAAACCTTTAAATAATAATAATTTCTAAGTTTACTCTTAAACTTTATTAATTAACTTATCAACTTAATTTACAATCTATTTAAATAATATTTAATCTTATAATTAATTACTATATTATACTTTTTATTTATATAACTTTATATTTTCACCCCAAATACTATATTACCCTCTAAAAGATTTAAACATATAGAATTAAGAAACACAACAAAATACTAAACTGTTTTAAGAAATCTTGCCAAGGAATCCTGAGATAGGTGTAATAATTTTAATTAATAAACTTATAAAAAATAATATTTTTAAAAATAAAATATATATTTTAAACTATTATATCTAAAATCTTTTTATTACTTAAATTAACAATTTTTTCCTATTTATTATTTCTAATATTTATTACAATAAAACAGATTTATTTAACTTTATTAAATTCACAATTTAACAAATTCCTTAAATTATTAATTATAATTTAAATAATATTATAATAAATAATATTCTATTTACTTATACTTAATTATAAATTTTTACTAATATAATAACTTTTAAAATTTTTATTAATATAATTACCTATATTTCTAAATATTACTAAAGTTTTAAATATATTTATAAATTTTTTAATACTAAAATATATATTAAGAAATATATTTCATATTTATCGTAATAAAAATAATTAAATTTAATAAAGCTATAATATATTAAATATATTAGAATCATTAAAATTTTTATTTTTTGTGCCGGGGGGTTGCTATTTCGCGCCATAGTAGTTTACCGTCCCAAAATATAATACCACACAATCAACGCAGTTCCCACAAGTCCCACGTGTCGTGAGCGCCGCCGCAAATACCCAGATCAGCCAACGATCTAAAGTTGATTGTTACAATGCAAATTACTTTTTTTAAACTTTTGATTCGATGATAGCTTCGATGATCAGTACTTTTATATGTTTAGTACCTAAATCTTATGGACTAAACTTAGATACGTCACCGGAATACACTATACTATATTATGACTAACATAATCACGATATTTCGTCGTCATTGTTTCCTCCCCTCGTCGCCACCTTTCTTCCATTACCCTACCACTCCATCAATTACACTATAACAATATATAATAAATACTAGTTTCCTTCCCGTTAAATCATCTTTAGAAGATATATCATAAAAGGAAATTTAATAATAATAATAAAAATGTACAACCGCGGCCCAACAACTTCTTCTCCCTACCTCTTCCCCTCCCCAACCCCCTGGCACAACCCCACAACCCTCCCCGCACCTGTACCGCCGCCAGTCGACCCCCGTCCCTTACCACCAGGCTGGACACAATCCTACGATCGTTCCACAAACCACTATTTCTACACCGACACGAACATCAACCCTTTCAAATCCTTCTGGGAACATCCCGGGGATCTGGGTTATGATCCTGGGGTATATGGTAGGAGATTTACGTATGATGAGGTTTTGGCGGCTAGGAAGAGGGGGTATAGGATTTCACATGGGATTGAGTGGTTGAGGAACTTGAGGGTGCCGAGGGAGGCGAAGGTTCAGTGGAGGTGGAGGGAAGTAGAGAGGAGGGGTGGGAGTGAGGATGATGAGGAAGAGGATGAGGAAGAGGTTGAAGAGAGGGAGGATAGGAGGAGGAGGAGGAGAAAAAGGGGAGATAGGAGCCGTATAAAGTCTCAATCAAGATCCAGATCGAGATTGGAAACGAGACATAGATCATCTGAAGACTATGAAGATATTAGACCGCGTTCTCCACCACAATCTTCTCATATAGAACGGGGTAGTAGCGAAGAAGGATATTATAGTGGAGAATCTGCAGCTGAGAGTTCGGGGACTCAAAGAGTATATTCGACTGGAGGGGATTCTACCAGCGATGAGACTTCTAGAATCAGCAGTCGCAGAACAGATCACGAGATACCTAGTTCTACGTCTCGTCCTGCTGAAGTCCCGGAACAATCTCAATCTCAACCTCAATTTCAGTCTCAAGATCATACTCCGAGACAACCGCCACAATCCCTATCAACATCACAACCGCTAGAAACTATCCCAGAACAGCCCGCAGAAGAATCTACAGAATCTCAAGACCCCACTACTACTACTACACCCCAAACCACCACCACCACCACCCTCGAACATTCAGATCCCCCCTTAGGACAAGGACAAAGACAAGCACAACCAGAGAGGGTATACGCAGCTTCAGACCTCGATTTCCCCGCGATCCCCCAAGGCGGAATATACCTCATCCCCCGCGCTCTAAACCCCTGGATTGAACCTGCTCTTGCATCCATCGAAAACCAAATACCACCTCCACCTCCACCGCATACCAGCCCCACTGGGTCAACAATCGGTAGAACAAGAGATATCCGTACAGAAAGTTTTGAGTTCGGGTTTACTCCTAATGATAATAATAATGACCAACAACAGCAGCAAGAACAACAGCAGCGACAACCGCAACAGTCTGAGGAGAGTCAGCAAGACCGCGATATGACATTTTATATGAACCTAAACAGAGGAGAAGGTCTCGGCCACCGTGGGAGGGTATCTCCAAGATCTCCACCCGCGTCACCAATCCGCGCAGGTAGCGCACGTATAATGCGTACCACAGCCTCAATACCCGATGACAACCAAACCCTTCACTCATCTAGAACTGAAACCGAATTCACCGAAAACACTGAAACCCAATCTCAATACCAAACCCACACCGAGAATCAATCTGAAATAGACTTCCCCCCAGAACCTCCCACACTAATCGACCGTTTCCGCAAAGCCTTACACCTCCACGTCCCCACGCCCTCTGAAAAATCTGCAAAAAGGGAATTCAAAAGAGCCCAACGAGAATCAAAGGAAGCCGAAATCGCTCATCGTAATCAAAGAAGATACCAAGCCGCCGCCGATAGAATGAGAAAACAATCCGAACTCCTTAATGAAATGAACCGTCGTCAAAACGCAATATATCATAGTCAAACTTTAAAGGACAAATTGGGGTTCGATGAGGAAGTATTTAGAAAGAAAATCATAGAAGGTACTTTGATGAATAAACCTTCGGATGCACCTGCTGAGAAGCCACCGAATGAGAATGGTAGTAGTGTCCCTAGTTCGGCGCCTTCGGAGCCGAGTGGGAGTCATGCTAGTCTACCGAATCCTGTGGGACTAGCTGCAGACGCATTCGATACCTCCATGCCAGGAAACCTCCAACCCTCGCCGAATGCACCGATAGGAATGGCCGTAGACGCAGAAGCCGAGACAAGACGAACGATAATGCGGGAAGATCTGAATATAAATAAACTAAGAACTCCTGCTCCGTCTCCACCTAGATTCTATGGTGAAGCACCTCAGATGGTGCCAGATACGCTTTATAGACGACATGAGCATGATCTAAGTCGAGCAATGGGAAGGGAACCGTTTCTTAGAGAGAATTGGGCTAGACACCATGAGGAGATTGATCCGAGGTATGGAGCTTTTGGGTCTGGAAGGTTTGGAGCTGGGAGTCCGGCGGCTGTTAGATGGCAGATTGGTCATAGAGGGTTTCAGCGGCCGCCGAATAGGCCGAGTATTTTTGGGGGGGATACTAGAAGGTATGTTCCATTTCTTTAAATGATGATGCTATATATATTTGGGAGTGTTCTAATTTATGGATTTTAGACATCCGCACTATTTTGATTATGCCGAGTATGATGAACATGAGTGGGATGGAGGCGGTGGATATCGTGGAGCTGGATTGAATTGTGGTTGGTAGTAATATTGATTATAATGTGTAGTATAGAGTTTTGAATAGTAGATAGTTGTACTGTCTAGAAAGGTTCCTACTAGAGGATAGCGACTGGTTGATTAAACTAATTATTTTGCAGCTCGCTTTTATAGATTATACCGACTTACTTGAATGAATGATAAGATGGCTACTCGATCTCTACTCCCAAATAGGATCACCGTCGTCGTCAAATTTGGCCCATACCAAATACCCACATCCCCCTTCCTTCTTCTTCCCTTTGCCCTCTCCACCATTATCATAATTATCGTTATTATCATCATTATCGCCATCCTTCCACTGATTCCCCACCTGACAACCCCAAAAATACCACCCCATCCGTTCCCTAACTCTCTGCACAGTCTTCAGCACACACCCAACTCCACATTTACACTTCGGAATCTTATCCGGCCGTAGAGATTCCCTATAACATCTGAATGTGATATTGATCCTCTTCCCACCGGCTATAGGATGGGGTTGTATATTATTCGCTGGATGAATTGAGTGTTTCCAACTTTCTTGACATTCGGCATGCATGATAAGTAATGAATTATGCGGTAGATGGATTGAAGCTTGACCTTCAGATTGCCATTTCCATTGTTTCCCCGCACTTCCACCTTCTTCTTCTCCTTCTTTCCCATCTAAGCTAGAATCAGGTTCAAACGGAACAGTAGTATCAACAACCACCGGTGCAACTCTTCTTAATCGAAACTCCCTTTCTACACCTAGACTTATAGAAGCGATCACGGTCCTTGGTCCTAGGTATGTAAGTTGATCTGAATGCCAACCGACACTTTGTTTTGCACCATCGTAGCAGTTCATGAATGCGGAGGTTATGTGCCATTTTTGTGGCGGTAACATGTGTTTTAGCTTTTGACCGTGCGGGTAGACGGTTGAGATTCGGGATGTGAGTTGGGAGCGGATGAAGGATTCGAGGTGGGGGATGATTTTGTGCATTGTTGGGGTGAAGGTTCTTATCTGTTTTTTTTTTAAAAAAAATGTTAGGAGTAGGGGGTTTTGGGGTTTTGGGATTTTGGGGGAGAGGAGAGGATACTTACATCTTCAAGAACACTACCGTTGTACATATAACCCCTCCGATGTCTAATAGCCATTTCCTCGTCTTTGACGAAGAAGGAAGCTGTATGCGGACTACTGACATTTCGTTCAAATAGTCTAAATTCGTATTTTCCAAACGATGGGGCTTCGGCGAGACATTCTCTTAAAAGTTGGTTTGCTGTATCCGGTGGTAGGAAGGAAGGGTGTAGTGTTGCTGGGGTGTAGTAGGGTACTTGAGATGGGGTTGTTAAATGAAGAGTTTTGAATTTGGGAATTGCGGGGAGGGGGAATGGGATTTTGCGGGTGGATTGTGGTGGTGGTGGTGGTTGGTTTGGGTCTTGGAGGGGTGAGAGAAAGGTTGAGAGGGAGGATTGGGTTGGGATTGAGGTTGATTGCTTTTTTGATGGAGATAAAGAAGAAGAAGAAGAGGCGAGTTTTGAAGCTGAGGAGACGGAGCCATTGCATGTTAAGAGGAGTTCTAGGAGTGTTTCTGGAGATAGTGAGGGTTGGAGAGAGGATAGAAGTGCCAGTTTGAAGTCTGTGGATTCTTCTTCTTCTCCCTCTTCTCCTCCTTCTTTATTTTCTTCAATCGATTGGCCTAGTGAGTCTATATCTTCTTTACTCTCATGGTGCTCCATCTGTAGAATTCCCGGAGTATCTTCATCATTGCTGATATCTTCCTTCAGGATATTACTGCGTAAAGCTGTTGTATTCGGTGCATATTCCAGCACCTGTTTCTTCGCAATCGAACTCTCGACCACGGGAGCTTTAGACTTCGCAAATGCTTCGAAGAAGTTTCGCTTCTTTTGAGCTGCGAGTTTATTGTTCTTCGACATCTAAATATTATACTTAATTTTGTTAGACAATGGAGTCTTTCGATAAGGTGATATGTTGATTTTTTTAGCTGCAAGAATGCCGTTTTGATACCCTATGTTCATATATTCATGAGCTCACCTTGCATGCGTATAAAGAGAAACCCCAAAATAAACCAACCGGACACTGTGATTAGTAAACACCAGTTTGTTAATTCAGTTCTTGATTCCAAGAGCTTAGGTGGTATGGTAAAGCAGGATGAGTTAACCAATTGCGTTAACGTTAGTCGTCGGCAGCCGAATGGAATGATTACTAATCAAACTTCCCAAAAGACGACACGGCTCAGCCGACGCGTCTTCCTGACAAAGCCAGTTCACGTGATATCGTCATATGAAGAAATATCCCACACTTTCAACACACGACTAGCTAGCTCTCCTGAGAGAATCAAATCAACTTGCGCTTTCCTCCTTTTAAATTTATTATATCTAAACCTTTCGAAACTAATCTTCATTGGGGCTTGATTAAGGTCAATGAGCTAGTTTGGCGCGCTCTTAAGTCTATTAGGTGCGAATTCTTAATTTACTAGTTATTTAAACTAAGAGCGGATTGACTTATACGCCAGGCCACGCTCGTAGGAAAACCTACAATACAAAGGAAAGTCGCCCGTTCCTCTTTGCCATTCTACATGTTTACCATATATAAATTTATTCTTCTACCTATCTATCTATCTATCTATCTACCGAATCGGCGGGTGTAATATCGAACTTTTACTGGTTACTTTAACTACCTACTTCCATATTTGCACGCTTTCTCACCATTTATATATACTTATTATACTTATGCCTGAATTCGTAAGTTTTTATTTCACAGGGACAAGCTTTGTCGACGAACTCTCGAGACTACAAAGCTAGCTAACTAGTACTTACATATAACAACCTTTATTACCTACTTAAGTAGTTATATATATTTTTGGAAGATATTGCCTGGAGAATTTGGATCTCTTACGTCCCCGATAGCATAGCCATATATAGATACATCGGTTTCTAGAATATAATGCAAACTTCTCAATCATAATTTTCGAGTGATATAAACCAGCTGAAGCGGCCCCGCTACCATTATGTGCAGCCCATCCTCCGAAAAACGCCATCAGCTTTAACAAAAGAAGAAGTCCAGTTTACCAAATATTAACACCAGCTCTTCTCAAGGTCAGGAAAACCTTCAACCCCCCGGCTCAATCACGAATGAATATCATCGAGTCGTAGACCTTCTAATACAAGGTCAACAACTCCCATATGACCGAACTCAGGTTTGGGGCACCTGCTACCCATATCAATCCAACAACAAAATGTTCAGCTGGTTATGCTGACCCCGTGACTGATTAAACCGACACCAGTAGTGTATGTACTGAAATTAACCGTAGATCGTGTGCTGAAAACCCTTTTGAACCTTGTCTGAATACCGAATACCACGAATATTATCTGAGTAATCATAAACTGCTGTTGGATAATATATCGTTTGGATTAGGGTGGGATCCGGCGTTTCAGGGGCAGCGGCTAGTGGAAGAAATCCGTCGTTGTTGCCGTTGATAACACACAGTAGCGCCTCGAGTTCTTCGCAGGCGACATGGAATCAAAACTTAGAAAACCTTCAAAGATGTGATATTTATATATGTGTATCGATAGTACTCATCCCACAAGCATACTCTATCAGAGTTTGCATTATAAATCCTCCCTCTTGATCGACTTTCTTCGGATTCCCCGCTCGTGTAGAAATAAATGCTGTTATTTCCCAATGTGGCAAAAAGTATAAGGAGTTCGCATTCGTAAGAGCGTACTGCTGGGGGTCGTCTAAATCGGCTTAAATGAGCCTTGCGGGTATGATTCTTTGCCCCATAGGAACCTATCTTGTCATAGATTTCACCGCATCTGTCCCCATCTCAAACTTGGACCAGCCCACTCACCCGCGGCAACCAAAGAAAGTGCATGTAAGTTGTGCTGTCCATGAGAGAGCCTTAGTATGTGACACCAGTGATAGTGACCAACTAGGAAGTAAGAGTAAAAATTTTAAGAATAAAAAATTTAAAAGTAGCGAAGTAACAAGTTCAGGGATCCTCCAGATTCTCCGGGCCTGTGTAGTCCAGGATCGTAATATCGCCGTCGGGGTCTTGGGGTTCCAAAACTTCGACGGTGTGTATCATCTCTGCGCCGCGACTTATTTCGTCGCTAGAGTCAATTCCATAACTGGCCGGGCCGGCCCGTGAACGTCGCTATATTGATTGTCTCAATGGTTGTCATTCGAAATGACCAACGAAAGCCAACCTTGTTGTTTATATATATCGTACGCGGGTGCAGTTGGAGTTATGATAATTGAAGCAATAGATCCGGTGGAATCTGAATCAACCCAGAGTACTTGCTGAGGGTGGATTTGATTCTATCAAATTGGCAGTGATAGGTCCGTCAGGATGCAATCAGAGCGGTGTAGTCGGGAATGAATATCTGCTAGATCCATGGCGGCTAGCTAGGACAAATTTTGGAAGGCATCAGATCAGCTTCTGGGCTAAACGGGTGTGCGTTAACTTGACATCATCGAGCTCAGTTAATATCTCGTTTTTCAACCTCATTTCTGTATAGTCTTTAGGCTTCAAATTGAGAGAGAGATTTTCCAGGTTCCAGGATCAGCTGTAGCGGTACCTTTGATATCCATTCCGCCAGTGCGGATCCAGACTGAGGCTGGGCTTTTCGTAAATTGAACTTTCTTCCCTTTTTTATGATCCACGATTTTGTTTAGAGCATGGTTGTGACTCTGAGCCAGAATTTGGATTTAGAACTGCTGCTCTGGCTGCACTTGGGTCGCTTTGGTCTAGGCCGTGAAGTATATATGTCAATGCATCGACACCGATGATATCGCGTGACCGTTTGTTGATATTGTTTCAAAGATCGTTAGACGCCCAATCTTTAATCTTTCAATCACCTGTTCAATTACTCGAATTCGATCCGAAAACTTGAAACCAGGAGATCGATAATTTGCGCAGCTACTGCTCCGTTGACGGTGACCAAGTCTTGTAACCCAGCACGCCTTTCCCCGTGATGGGCTTGATCTTGCAAGCGGAAATTTCCTTGGTTCCACATTCAAAAAGATCAATCATTCTTAGAAAACTTTCATTTCTTGGAAAAATAACTTCGGGTTTAATATTTTGACCATCACTCAACCAACTAAAACTTCATTCTGAGGCCCATGCATGAGAGAGGTTAGCAGTCGAACCCATTGCCGAAGTAGAAGCACAGTATCATGAAGGCTCTTCTTTAAGTCTGGTGTACAATGTCAAGATATCCGGATTAATGTTCGTAAACTGCTTTGTCGCCGTGGAATTTAACGACTCGTTGGGTGCGGATAATCTGAAGTCTCATTTTTGGAGAGTCAGTTCCGACCATCAACAACATGGAATCGAGTTGTGATTCATCGAAGCTATTGATCTTGGGTATATATCGATATATCTCTATAGCGCTATAGCCCTATGTCGTAGTACCGAAAAAGCTGTATAGACAAGAGATTCAAGCACGTCTAAACTCGTTTCTCGTGAAAGTGTAACCAATTTCCTCATGTAAGTAATGGATCATATTATCTTCTATAAAGAGGTAATAGTTTCATACCTGAACTTAGGGATGTAATGCAATATATACCCAGAAGATCGCTCAGAATTATTGACGGTATTGGATCCAACAGGATAGCTTGTCTTTTGTAAAATTCCCTTCAAAGTGTTTCCTGCGATAACTGCTTAGATACGCACGTCAAAGGCCGACTTAGAATATCTGCCATGTGCATCTTTCTCTTGATGAACTCCCTGAAGATACGCTCCAGCCGAGATACATTGCATCGTATGGTCCGCGTTTTCAATATCCGCAGAATCATTGCCCTCGTAGTTGAGCTAGAGCAAGTCGAAGACTATCGACTGTAGATTACCCAACAATACCTATAGCGTTTTTTGTATGCGCCTTCGCCTGCCCAAAACATTTTATCGTTAAAGTGACGGAAGTGGCTATCTTTTAGCTCGTTCGGCAATCCGCTTCATGCTTCATATATCTCATATAAGTTGGTGGAATATCACCTAAAATGACTGTTAAAACTTTCACCAAGGGATGCTTTTGAGACTAGCACTTACTTCGCCCCATTGATGAACGGTGAAACAGGTCGTCATACCCTCGATATGTAGCACAGTTTCAAACCCTTCTAGATCTGGAAGAACCCTTAGTCGGGATCCTACTCTACTGAGCAACTTTGAAAATAAACTCGCTATTCTCGAAAGGAACTCCTTCTCTTAGATTACTACTGTAATGCACTGAAAAGGATGTGGTATTGACGTTGACTTGGCCAATGACCGTAGATTTAACCAAAAGCATAGGCTCGGCGTTAGGCTAGTTGTAGATCAAAGTAGTTTGACGAGCTCAGGAGGCACCATGTAATAGTGTTCCTCAGCTGTAATTGAAGGGAGAGATTTGATATAATCACCGCCGCGCCGGGAACGAGTCCAAAACCGATAGACGGAATGTTGTTTTAAAGGTTGGGTAGTTAACGACGCTTATTACGGGGTATTGAAACTCCATATGTCGTGGAATTGAATATTCGACAGAATCCCTTTCCGAAGACAATTTCTAATCCGCTAATATAGGTATTCAGTATCCGATAGCGGAGTGGAGGTAGTGTCAACTTTGGACAAAAGGCGCTACTTCTATCATCAGCCAGATCCATCTCCTACTTGTAGATTATTGTTAAAACCAAAGCTAAAAATATAACTGCGTCGACAAGAATTGCAGATCTCTGATTGTTGAAGCAGGGCAAGCGAAACCATGAAGAATTCCTAAAGGGAAACTCGCAGATAGTCGCAAAGCTTTTTGAATCCATGTGCCGAATATCGCGACTGGCTGCTGTTCGTAATCTCCCCAAAGACTCCACGGTGGAAAGTATTTAGGAATCAAAGAGACCTAAATATAGCCAAATACAAACGTTAAAATCTTCCCCGTAGGAG